TCAGATCTCCCCAACCAAACTGTGGATTGTAGGGATTCATTCACCCCTTCCCAGTCCAGGGTAGGCCACTGCTGGTGAGGCTGAGCTGCATGCCAGTCCAGTATCCTCTGCAAAGTTGCCATCTGGTGGTATTTTTTAAAGTCTGGGATGGCCAGAACCCCGCATCACTATGGTAGGCATAGGACTTCGTAATGGAGGCAGGACCTCTCACCCCGCCATACGTAGTGGATCACCGCTGTTTTTAAAGAAGTGAAGAACGATATGGGTAACAAGATAAGCACAGTCTGAAAGAGGTAGAAGTTGGGGCAAGATGTTCAATTTGAGGACTGCCACACGACCCAGCCATGATAGCTGTGGATATGTCCAACGCTTCAGATCTTCTAACACCTGGCGTAGTAGGGGCTCATAATTAGAGTGATACAGATCAGTCCGGTTTTCCATCACCCATGTGCCTAGGTATCTCATTTTCTGCATGCACCATCAGAATGGGAAGTGCGGGCGTAGGTTCGTGAAATCTGATTCCGGGAAGGATATATTCAACAACTGGCAGATTGTGAGATTGAGTTTGCGGCCCGATATGTCGCTGTATTCATCAAATTCCTTCATCAAGCATGGCAGGGTGATCCGTGGAATGATGACAAAAAAAGAGGAGGTTGTCTGCATAAGCTGCTACCTTATGTTCAGTGACCTTCCACTGGAAACCTGAGATGTCGCAGTTTTGTCAGATCGTGTTAAGGAATGGCTCAAAGGAGACAGCAAATAACAGGGGTGATAGCGGGCAGCCCTGCAGTGTGCCATGAAGGTTTGGAAAACTAGGTGTTAAAGCTCCATTGACCTGTACTCTAGTGTTGGACCGACTATACAAAGCTGTAATCCAGCTCCTTAGCTTCACTTCGAAGCCCATCACAGATAAAGTAGCGAACATGAAGCCCAATTGACCCAGTTGAATGCCTTCTCTGCATCGGTGGGCAGTAGTAGCATGTGTTTGTTAGTGTGGCGTACCAGATGTTGTAGAGCGTGAAGGTGAAGGGTGCTGTCTCTAGCTTCTCTACCATGGATAAAGCCTGTTTGATCCGAGTGTATCAGGTCAAGGAGATACGTTTGCATCCTAGTCGTCAGGACTTTCATGAGCAATTTGACGTCAATGTTGATAAGCATATTGAGCGGTAGCTGCCACATGATTCAGGGAGCTTACTGGGCTTTAAAAGCATGGCGATTGTGGCTGCCAGGGACTCAGCATGGAGTTCCCCCCTGTCCGCTAACTTGTTCAGGGCGATCGTCAGTCTGGGTGTTAGCATGTGTGAAAAGGTCTTGTTGTAGCCTATGGATAATCCATCTGGGCCTGTGGCCTTACCCGCTTTGGCAGTTTTGATTGCAGCCAGAAGCTCCTCCTCCCCTGAGGGAGCGTCAAGCCTGTCTGCCACATCTCTGGAAATCCTGCCTGGTTTATGGGCCTCCAGATCTCTCTGGATTTTAGATGTGTGGTCGGGTTCCGAATTTCGGGCTGGGTCTCCTGTAGATTTGTAAAGTGTTTAATAAAATTCCTGGAATTCCTTTGCTATATCCTGAGAAAACTGTGAAACACCCCCTGCAGACATGTTCAGTTTGTGAATCTGAGTGTATTGCCGTAGTCCACGCAGCATTTTGGCCAGGAACTTTTCTCCCTTATTGGTGTGTGTATAAAAGAAACCTTTGGATCTCTGGATGCTCCTGTAATGTTGACTCGTCAACAGGTTCGCAAGTGGCGCGACGCACGTCCAGTAGGTCTGCATATACTGATTCCAGCTGTGATCGTTTATGTTGTGACTCTAGGCTGTCTATCCATGCTGAAAGGTTGGCAAATTGTTGTACTGCTTCTCTTTTCTTCTTGGTAGCTAAACCGATCAAGCAGCCCCTGATGATGCTCTTGTGTACTTTCCACAACGTAGTGGGCAACATCTCGGCAGTGTCATTCTCCTCGAAGTAGAGGGACAAGGTTTGCGTTACCTGTTCTTTGACGGTAGGGTCATACAGTAAGGACTCATTGAGCCGCCATGTCCATTCAGCCTGTTTAGTCAAGGGGGATGCCATGTCAACTAGGACTGGTCCATGGTCTGACCAGGTAGAGGCAGCTATCTTCGCCTTGAGTAAACAAGTGAGGCCTTCCTGCGGTACAAACAAGTAGTCTATTTGGGCGTAACGGTCATGTACAGCAGAGTAGTGAATGTCCCTGTCTGCTGGGTGACAGGCCCTCCAGCAATCCACCAGTCTCATATTTTTGAGGGCATTGCAGATATTATGGATACGCCTTTGGGATATGTTGCTGTGTCCAGTAAAAGAATAAAGGATGGGATCCAGGGGGACATTAAAGTCCCCGCCGACTAACAGAGAGCAAATCGATTCAGCTTAGATAGTGTCCTACACAAGAAGTTCGATTGGCATTGATTGGGGCCATAGAGGGCTGCAAACATGTACGTTTTCTCAGCTACATTGCCCTTAAGGAACAGATACCTACCGTCAGGGTCACGTTCCCAGTCCAATACTTGAAATTGCAAAGTAGCTGCTAATAATATCACCACTCATGTTTTCCATGAGGTCGAGTTGTTGCTAAAATAATTGGCTGGGTAATATTTATTTAGCAGCTTGGGAGCCCTGCCTTCCAGGAAATGGGTTTTCTGTAAGAAAGCCATGGACACTTTATGGGTTGGGAGTTCCCGTAGCACATGAGATCTACGTTCTAGGGCATTAAGTCCTCTGCAATTGAGCGTGAGGACTGAGAGCGAGGCTGCGCAAAAGGTCATTTGGAGAGCTCGAGCTTCCCAATTTGGTAGGACTAGGAGGCAAGGTCCACAGAGGCGGACAGGCACCCTGTCACCCTAAGGGTCAGGGGAATACTTAGGGGTAAGTCTGGAATAGAGACAATGGAGGTCTCCCTGCCGTTTCCCACTCCACGGGTGATAGGTGGGAGACGACAGGGAAAGCCCCAAGAAATTAAGATAGAAGGTGAAGGTTGAATACAGAGAGAGGTAGACGGAGAAAAGAAGCTACTTCTACATGCAGATAGTGCCCTTGATGATCTCCCATTTGTTGAGCGGACACTCATGGAGCAGTGAAGGCTGTCTATGCACGCCCCAGATAATCCAGTAGGTGAAGCGAGCCGTCAACACTGCACCACCCTGAAGAAACACACAAGTGTACGAGGAGTGTGTGGCTCAGCTCCCAACCATGTTTATCAGATGTTCTTTGTATAAGAGAGAATATAAGATATCCTAAAGAGAAGGTGCCCACTTGTCAGCCCCGCTAAAAGGAAAGTCCAACCCGTTGTCATGTCAAGTAAGGTTATGGGTTGAGTGGTGATCCCCCTCCCACCAGTTGTCTGGCTAAGCGAGTGTGTAGTAGTAGAACATGGCGTGGAGGGACAAGTACCATTTAATAGCCTAACCCTCTGGTAGACCCTAGAGTCTTCCACCCCAGGTATTGAACCTACCCTTGCCCTAGTTCACAATGACCCCCACTGCAGTTCCCCTTATCGCTGTTCCCTCCCTGTGAGGCCAGATCGAATGGTGTTACACCCTGTCGACTAGTTGGCATGCCCTACATATCTTGTCAGTGCACCCAGTGATCGTCATGGAGAAGGTGAGGGCCACCTGATCGGGTGCCCCCCCTGTAGTGCGTACCCCATGTGTTTAGAGCTGACCTTGCCTGCTGACCCCCTGACGTCCAATGATGGTACTCCCACCTGCCCCTTCACCCTCCGCCCCCCGTGCGTGTCTATTCCCACTGCATTATACTGTACCGTACATACACCAATCTTCCCTAGCAACATATTGATAAATGTACCACTCAGTAATGCAATGCATATGGAATAAATGATCCTTCAAATTTTTGGTGAACAATAACATCACAATGGAATAAGGGGGGGCGGGAAGGGAGGGGGAGGAGGGGAGGGGGGAGGAGAAGGGGGAAATGAGGGGTGGGCGAGGTGAAGGGGGAAATGAGGTGAGGTGCGGAGGGAGTGAAATAAAGGGGAGGAGGCCAACCTCAGAACCAAGAGAAGGTCGCAGCTGTGCCATGCAGTGTCAATGAAGAAGTCCGTGGTTATGATTGACCCATCTCCGGGGGGCAGCGGGGATGGCAGAAGTGAAGGCACATGGTGTAAATCCCGGTAAAGCTGGCAAAGGTGGCGCCCAGATCCCTCAACCCACCCAAATCACTATTATTTTTCCACACCACCTTGGAGAGTAGGATGCCAGGGTTTCAGATGATTACCATGCCCTGCGGGGCACCCCACAACAGAGAGGGAAAAAAGAAGGGGGGGTGACCGCAAACAACCAGGGTGTAAAAACAAAGTGGGGGGGAGGTTGCAAAGGCGATCTGTGTGACAGAAATCACCTTCAGCTAAACGATGTGTGCAACACGGATCTCAGTGGGCACCATTGAGGGGCTATAGGGCCAAACCCATGACAAACCTCCACCCAAAAGCAGTGTACCACCTCCCAGCGTCCAGGAGAGCCGGCGTGGGCTGTGTGTGTCAGGTAGTGTGGAGCGATGGGTTTGAGTTTACCTTAATACGCAGCAGGAACCCTCCTGGGGAATGCCATGTTTACTCCTTCGAGCATCCTAGGTCCAGGAACCGACAGGGCAGACGGACCGTCAGGGAGTCCCCTCTCCTGCGACGCCGGACTCTTTGTGGATGGGGCGTCATGTCCAAGGTCCTCAGAACCAAATTGACCATGGGTTGCGGCGGCAGCTGTAGTATGTCGAGGAACTCCGGTACTTCCTCAGGCCACCGAAGGTTAATCCATTCATATCGATGACAGACTGACAGGCAGAATGGGAATCCCCAGCAATACGGTATCCTGCGTTCCTGGAGCATAGCGGTCACCGGTCTCAGTGCCCATCTTGCATCCAAGGTAAGCGGAGAGAGGTCTTTGTAGATGGCCACCTGGGCGCCCTAGAACTCCCACAAATTCCTGCTGCAAGGCTTTAAGCATAATCGTTTCCTTTTGTTTAAAGGAACTTCAGCAGCAGATTATAACTCTGGGAGTGGGATTGTTGGACCTCGGGCGCAAGGCGTGGTGGACCCTCACAAAGCCGTAGGCTGCCGGTGCGGCTTCTCCAACGATGAAGTGGAACAGTGAAGTGAGTAGGCGCTCCACATCTTCAGGCCCGTTGGGCTCGGGTAGGCCTCGCACCCTCAGGTTGTATCTGCGACCGCGGTTATCTAAGTTTTCCATCTGGCGGCTCATCTCCAATAGCATAGTGCCCTGCCTCGCTAGTGCCTGATCAGAGGCCACGACCTGTGTCGAGAGGTCCTGAGTAGTTTGCTCCAGAACTGGTATCCGTGTCCCTTGCTCATTCACCTCTGTGCGAATCATGGCCATTTCGGCCTTAATGGTGTTGTTGAGCATGGAGGTGAGGGTCTGCAAGTCTCTTTTAGTGACCATCCATGCAGCTAGGGATCGCAATTCAGCACAGATGCTGACCAGAGTGGCATGGCTCGATCCTGACAGTGGAGACGGCGGCATGTTGGAATCCGATACCTCGTGGCCGGCTCCGGCCAGGGTATGCAGAACCCCATCCATGGGGCCAGTTAGAGAGCCGGAATGCAAGTTCCTGGGGGTCTGGGGATAATGAGTGCGACGTGTTCTCCCCATTAGCAGTGGAATAGGTGGAGGATGCTTTGAAAACGTGCTTATTTAGGGCTTAGACAAGCAGAGCTCTCTGGCTATGCTGCCATTCCAGTCGGAGTCTAAGCCACGCCCCCTAAGCTGCCTAACTTACATGTGCTGGGAGTGCAACTAGCCCCCAGCACACAAACAATTAAAAATAAGACAGTATGTGCAGTGTTTCAAGCAGAAACACTGCCCAAACATGCTTGCACCACCATGACCACTTCAAATCACTGAGGTGGTCACAGTGGTTGGAATAACCCTTTATTTTATTTATTTATTATTTTATTTTTTATTCTTTACTTTGTAGTGCTTAGATTGGAATACAAGCTTTGAAAGACATAACAATAGTAGTTAATGCGACAAGCTAAATTGCATGTATACAACAGGTCATGTCGAGAGATGTGCACTTTTTGTTTTAAATCAACATCAAGAGTTAAACGTTCATGTCTAAATGCTACATGTAGGGTTATATGGCATAACTGAGACATGAATAATACAAGCTGCATAGAAATATAACAAGCTAGAACTGTGACATATAGCTATATGCTTATTAGCCAATAATTTAAAATGAGTGGTAGATATATCTCAGTGAAGGTGAGTGATTGGAATGACCACCACCATCATGTTTAAGTTGGGCAAAATCCCTGACACATTCTGCATGCTGTTACGTAAATGAAAATAAAGAATACCGAAAGTAAAACAAAAAATATAGAGATTGCGTAAGCTCAATAACAAGAAAATACACACTGCTGTGCCAACATGATGTAGAGGTTCAGCCTAAGGCTCGGCTTAGTAGATATACTGCTTCAGACCATGAAATGATGAGGAGATCATCAGCCCATGAGAGTTCCACATGAGGATTATCCCTTTGGGTGGTTGGACAAAGTCCTGCCTGAGGTGGCAGTTGAGTTTCCGACCCAGATATTGGGGGTCTGTTTCCTGGAGCCATAGCTGCTGCAGCTTGGGGTGCTCCTGAGTGAATAGCCTGTCAGAACCAAGAGCAGACAATGTCCCAAACAGCAAGGCCTGTGGGTGTGTGCTGGCCGCCACCACTTGGAAACTTGTGCAACTTCAGGATGTGAAGGCACCCAGATTTGTTGCAAGGTGTCAGGGGCTGTAGTAGTGGGGACCGGGATTACCCCCACCGGTCCAGAGGGGGGGGGGGCTCTCAAATAGGCCTGCAGGGTCCCTTTGAAGAGGTCGGCCGCAACTCCCAGCAGGTCTCATGCTAGGCCACATGCCCGAACCTCCAAATGCTTCTACAGAGTGACCAGCGACAACCAGGTTTCAGGTCAGTTTGGATTGGTAGTCAATGTGGCCTGATTATCAGTGTTTAAACTGAGAGTCTGCGGAGCTCATGCTCCATGCGACCACTCGACATGGCGGTCAAGCCCCGCCCCCCTGGAGTAACCCTTTAGGTTCTATAAATGTACACACCTAGATCTGAACTTGGTGATAAAATTCAAATATGCTGTCTCTGAGTTATTTTCCATATCAAAGAAATATTTTTTTTATTTTAAAATAGCCATTATTAATATAATATATAAAATGTATCTGACATGATTGCAAATAAAATACTTTAATTGTTTATTTTCACTGCTGATTGCTTTTCTCCTGGGATTTGACTGAATCTACCATTCCAAAAGTGCATTATTTCATCATCAGAATTGATCCTCACTGAAAGGGAACGTGGGATGAGATGCAAACTGGAACTCTCAGACTAATGTTGCGAAGCTTGGTGCATGTGCCACATACCTCCGTTATCATTATTATATTGCGATGTATATCCTTTATGTATGCAAGACACGTACTGTAGATTGTAGATTCATTAGCACTACTTAATTCCCATTTGTGTGAATTCTTATGTTTTGTGATAGCTGTCTAGTTACTATTATATTTCTGCTCCCATTTCTGTATTTTGTGCATATGTGAGTGAGTCGGATATCGTGCATGGACAATAGAGAGACCATGAAACAGCATACGTGATATTGCACTTTAATAAAACCATCCTTCCTCAGGAGTAAAAAAAAAAGCTGAAATGTTAACTGATCCAACAATATTATCTATCATTAGTATTATAAGTTATTATTTATCCATTTTATTGCTCTTCAACTATGATAACTTGTATATGAAGGAGTAATGTCAATATTTATCTACAATATACATTAACCAGGAACAATACAATTTGCTATGCTACATCTTCCCAAAGTGTAGGAAAAATTCAGGAAACAGATAGCATTCTAAAGTAGTATATTTCTATCTCTAACACTGAAATACTATAAAAAATATCCTGACATCCCAAAAAGAAAATAAAAAACATTAACCCATTAAGAACTAACCTATACTGGATGGTCTGGCATAAACCTATTAGGCAGTTTCATTATCTTTTTATTTTTAGTATTACCCTCTTCTTTTAGAAGAGGCACAGACATGCTACACTATTTTTGATGGCTTTCAGATTTACCCTGTCTATCATTAGAAAGGGAAGATGACTGGGGCTTGATGCCTGGCTGGGAAGGGTGGTAAGGGTTGTTTGCTACCTTGGTACTTTAATTTATTAAATTAATTTTCATTTATCTGCAAAAAAATGTTGTGTGAACTGCATGGGGTGTCTGTGAAATGCATAGTATGTGCATCTAAACTTCTCGAAGTGTGACTGTGTACTGAATGAAGTGTGTCTGAATTGCATAGAATGGAGTGTGTCTCTGAATGGCATTGAGTGTGTCTGTGAATGCCACGGAGTGTGTTGGTGAACTGCATAGAATGGTGTGTGTCTGTGAATTGCATTAAATGTGTCTGTGAATGGTATTGAGTGTGTCTGTGAATGGCATGGAGTGTGTTTGTGAATGGCATGGAGTGTGTTTGTGAACTGCATAGAATGGAATGTGTCTGTGAATGGAATTGAGTGTGTCTTTGAATGGCATGGAGTGTGTTTGTGAACTGCATAGTCTATATCTATGTAATAGATGGAAGATGTCTCTGTGACTAAATGGAAATTGTCCAAGTGCTGCATGTAGTGTGTCTGTCAGCTACATGGTGTGTAAATGTGTGTCTAAGCTACATTTTGTTTTTGTCTGTGTCACTGGCAAGTGCCCCACTTAACCACAAATTGGACCCCATCAGTCAGGGCCAGGAGAGGTCTGCAATGCAGTGAGGGCAGAAATATGTCAGGGCCCCATACTTTAGGTACCAGGATAGGGCCTCTCCACAGTGTGTGGATAGCAAATAGATTGAGAAGATCTATTTAGGTTTAGGGAGGGGTTAATTGGAAGAAGAAGGTGGCCACCTCTTTGGGGTAGGGAAGGGGTTAATTAGCAAGGAAATGTGCAATCTAAATTGGTAAGTGAGATGGTTAATTGGCAAAGCACATCTAATTTGGGACTTGAGAGGATTCATAGGTAGGCAAATGAGGCGATATAGAATTTGGGCAGGGTAAATTGGAAAGGGTGAACTGGCATCATGTCTTGTGATGATATTATTTGCTATTTGGGAGAGACAAATTGGGACATTTTCAGAGAATTAGAGTTTAATTGTCTATAGCGACATGAGGCTCCACAAATCTTGCACCAGGGCCCTCTGTCCATTGTCCAGGTTTTTATTTAGTGTTAAACAAATGTAACACCCAGCCCTAGATGCATCCTTCCTCAACCCATCTCTTAAACAATTTATTACGCTTGGGTACATTTCTCCACTGAGGCCTTATTATTACATTGTCATTGCCACTTTGCTCCTATGCTCTTCTAACAAACAAGACACTGCCATTTTTTTGGGGTGGATAAGAGACTTCATATAGCCACAAGTCAGGACCCCAATATAAGCTTGTTGGACACAGATTAAGTTATTTACCAAACAGGGAATCACAAGCTTGCTGCTGACAAATTCCACACTAATATACTGTCTGTGTTCCACTTATTCTCAATTAGCAATGTGGTTCTTCGAAGGCCATTGGATAAACCATATATATTTGCTTCTGTTAATCATCAAAATGATATCTAAAGTCAGAAGAGCAATTTTTTTATTTGAGCAGTTTCCATACGAGTTTTATACAATTAAGAGTGATACACGTTTAATTATTTACTATTTTAAGAAGATTTTACTTTATTGTTTATTTTTAATCTTAAAATAACCCATAGGTTGTCATGTAAAATCCCATTCTTACAAGAGTCCCTGGGACAAAGGGGGCGGTAGCAGGTCACACCTGTATGTGCTGCTGTTCATATATTTTCCATTGGAATAGATGTCACCTTAGCACTAGTCTCTGTGTCCTAAGTGACAATTGATCACAGCAGCAATATGAAAGACTAGCTGCTCCTTCGGAAACCACACTTCCGCTTGATGTCTCAACTTAATGGCATTCAGAATTCAAAAACAGTTTGCTTGATTGTATTGTTATTTCACTTTCTGGATGTATTTTCATACTGATGGCAAAGCTATGACTAAGCTATGACTAATGTAAATTGTTTACTTTACACCAACACAAGAAGACAGATCACGTAGAAAGAGAGAAAGGAAGGTGAGGAAATTGACCTCACAATAAGCTAAATCCGGATTGGAGGATGGGATGGGAGGACCACCCACTGGATGAAGAAACCGGCATATTTAAAAAGCAGCATAAAGACAATGAGGATACTGATTGAAAAAGCCCCCATAGTGTGGGTGAAACGCGTCTCGGGACTGGAGCTAATTACTGGGACACTCTTTTATTTTATATAGAAGCAACTGGACGTTTTTATTTAATTCTATGTTTTTGTTTTTATATTTAAAGTTGCAATAAATGTATGTATTTTAAACCAAGTTCCACCAGCTTCTATCTTCATCTTGCTGCTAAAGAAGGACAGGTGCCCCCCTCTAGAGGTACCCAGGTCTATCATCCAGAGCCAGGTTCTCATTGGCTCAGGAAAAGGTGAACA